GATTATTTTTAATCTGTATTCCTACTCGAAATCAAAGTAACGATTATTATGAATTACGATACATATGTTATATCTACAATAATCGAAGTAAATACGTAAATATTAGAGATGGTTTAATTAAAGTCAAAATCTGAAGATGTAAATTAATGTATAAAGTTATTCCATTATGAATAACGATTATTTCTTGTTATATGCCTTAAACAACGATAGAAAAAGTTATTTAAATTAAACATTTCTGTTCTTTAAGAAAATGAAGAAAATTTATATGCCATTTTATAGAATATAGGAGGAAACTCTTCCCTTGTTTCTTAACAGAAGAGAAGTGTTGATAATAGCGAAATTTTATCACGGTTCGTAATATTTTTCTCGAGAAAATCATACATCGATGCAAGAATTATTTAAAATTGCACACTAAAATTTAGTATACAATTAGTATACAAAATTTCAATGTATCATACATTATTTACACATTTCACAAATTAATTCGTATTCATTATTCGTATATTTATTCGGATGTTTACTTCAATTATTCAGATGTAAATAAACGACACGTCTCCAGATAATCATGATTAAAATGAAATTTAGGGACACGTAACAACTATGTACAATTTTCGAATTGAAGAAGAAACAATTCGTATGTGCAAACAAGAGACAGATTAATGAGGATGAATGGTTGGTCGCAAAGTTGATTTGTGTGGAAAGCATCCATCTTGTTAAATGCATAATTACCTGCTACCAAAACAGAAAGAAAGTGTCGTTCATAGTTTTAGCAGTCCTCTTATCTTCAACAACTGTAATTACAACGTCTCGAGTAAAACCGTCGTTTAAAATGAAAGCTCCGCAGATGTAGTAATCTAGCGTTTGTTGTATCAGTAATTTTCCATAGGATTTTTTTCACACACGCATCAGGTAGCACCTAAACAAAAAGGATACAGAGACAGTAAAAATATAGGTGCATATAATTAACATCTTAGCGGCTGTTGTAAAAATAACTACGGAATATTGATGGAGTATGCAATGTACCATCGCTCTGACCTACTATACGTGCAATGCTTTATGCTTTCAAAGTTGATAAACTCGATAAAAATTTTTATATATTGTTCAAAAATTTGCAATGAATTATTTAACTTGACACAACGATAGAAGGTTGTGATATCTTGTAACGTATTTTAAATAGTTTATATAATATTCACTGAAAACTAGATTCAATTGTAAGCTTCGTAATTTGAACTAAACGAAAATTTGATCGCTTATCTACATTTTTGCTTCACTTCTACTGAAGTTTCCTTGGTTCGTGAATACTTCTTCACTTGAAATTATTCGATATTCTTGAGAATATTAAAAATATGAAAAATACAGTTTTCAAATTAATTTTTTAGGTCACTTAGATTTTCCAGCATTTGATGTTATTTTGGAGAACAATTTCTTCAATATTCAGTATTCTCAAGAAAAAAATTGTACACTCCAGTATAATTAAAGTAAAATATGAAGAATATAATTTTCAAATTAATTATTTAAATTTCCCAGCATTTCGCGTAATATTCTCAAGAAAATTGAATACCGAAGAAACTGTTCCCCAAAGTAACGCGAAACGCTGAAAACTCTAAATGACCCAAATAATTAATTTGAAAAGTATATTTCTGATATTTTTCATATTTCACTTTAATTATAAGTGAGAGTACTATTTTTTTAAGCAGACATAGACAGACACAGTGTATCATTAATACAAGAAAAATAATTCCGAATAATCACCGTATGCAAATATCGTACTAAAAATAAAAACTAGTTCGTATTTTGTTCCAGGTATTATATCCAGCGGCACATCAAGGAAATACTTCACGACTTCACAAGAGAATTATTAATGCATCGCTGACGGCTGAAGTAGTAAAAAATTGCGGCTAGTTGTTTATAAAAGTACTTAATGTCATGACTAATTCTAATGTGCGATATTAACGGGTACACATTACAAATTTTCACTAAACACCACCTATACCAGTATTTAATCGTAATATCGAGTAAGGTTGACCTCAAAGCCAGTGAACGTTGTCGTTACAAACGAGAAACGACAATGTACAAAAATTTCAGCAACACTTGAAAAGTGTACAAATTAATCATCGACGCCTGCTTATTCGCATGTATCGCCCGAACGAAGAAGGGGAAAAAATTTCATTGGAAAATCGATGGACCACTGATTTTTACAACTACCATATTTCTACGAGATTTACACGCAACGAAATATCAACTCGCAACAGAGCTGTGAATATAGTTTTTCTTCGATAACTTTTCTATCAAATCTTCACCACGTGGACCAACGTGTAGGCTTAGTATTTCACGCTTCAAGCACTGTGCGTCAACGTTGAGAAATAAATCGTGCAAAACTGTACGTTTGTATTTAGACACGAATCGGCTGAAATTATCGCGAAGAAGTGATAAATGTTTCTGCTTGAAGCGTTGAACGTATGAGAGAACTGCAGATCGTGCGAGAAATCTCTCGATCTTCGTCGATACACGACGTATCGGAAAGAAAGGGGGAAGAAGAAGAAGAAGAGAGGAAAAAGGGAAAACACGCAGGTTTCTCTAAAGCATGAACGTTGAAGAATATAATTCGCATCGAGTCACAGGGAATAGGGAGTCAAGGAAGCGTATATATTCCGCTCGAAGCTGCACGCAGTGCGAGCTTACCGGATAGAAGGGCAGGCAGAGAGAAAAAAGTAAAATGCCAGGGGGAACTTCGACGCGAGAAAGCAGCGAGGCGATCCGGATGGAGCCTTTAGGTAGAACCTCGAGTTCGCGGAGTCCCGGACAAAACGGAACCGCCAACACCACCACCGAGGTGCCAATAAATTCAGGTGAGTAAAAATTCACTCGCATCACGAAAGCATGTTAACTACTCTCCTCGACGAGTCAACATACTCGTCTCCGTGCTGTCGTGTAGTCAGCGAAATTTCAATTTCTTTAATGTCGCGAAGGATAAATATTTTCAACAGAGGCTCCAAAATTTAAGTTCAATTATTTAATAAGTTTATCTTGGGAAAAGGATTTAACACAATGTTTTAAATATTGTTTAACAATGGATCGATAATGGATATTATTTATAAAAATTATTTCTCATCATGAATTCTGTGTAATAATTTTGAAAATATTTATTGTATATTTTCACGTATACGATTTTTATTTTGTAATAATACATTTTTACTTAGAATTATTTACATAAAAATTTAACAGAAACTTCTCCTATTGTTTCTATTCATTATAATCTATTGTAAGTCGAATTGTTAAACTGCTACAAAAGGAGTAAAATATATAGGAAAGACGTAAAGAGGAATGTATGAAATTACTTATGGTTTCATGCACCGCACGTGAATTTTCGTGTAACTTGTAAGAAAAAATTTATTTTCAAGTTATGGTGTCCATAAGAAAGTGATTGGTATTAGAATAATTTATATCGGATGCTGGATAACTTTCTAAGGCGGAAATAACTATGTTAAAATAAAACAGGTCACAAGTTCAAAAGTTCAGACATCTATAAATTGCTCTGCTTCTATCTTCTGTCTACCAGAATAGTGAAAGTAAAAATACTTTCATGGTTACACTAGTGGATTAAAAACAATTACTTTCAGTGTAAGATTCTGTCATTTATGAGCTGGAAGTCGTTATTATGGAATACAAGCAAATTATTACTCGTTAATTTTATGTACCAATCTAAACATTTATTTTCAGTCAAATTATTATTATTATTATTCTCTTCTATTCGTTTATTTTCTTCCATATTTTTATTAGTTTGCTTCATACAGCATTTCTTCATGCATAATAATAATTCTCAAATGAATTTCGAAAAGATAATTATCTGTAAAACATGTTTTAGTAGTTACTGCATTTCTGCAGACAATATTCTCTGATTAAATAGAACACGAATAGTCCGAAAGATTAGAATACTTTTCATGAAAATATATTTTACGGTAAATATTGTTCACGTGTTCCTTTTTAAACAGATTTCATCAAAAATCTGTTACTTTGATCAAACTGACGAAGGAAAACTTTCTTATTCCTTAAAAGTTAAGTACTGACATTCTCAAATTGTCGAAATATCTTCAATTACAATTTACAATTTAATTTCAAGTTATTATTCTTTAAATCGGAGCTTTATGCAGCAGAAATCCCACGTCGATAAAATACATTATCAATCCGATCCTTTCTTTGTAAAAGTATTTCTTGATAATTGCATTAATCCTTAAATGTGCTTACTAGAGAGATTCTGATTCTGTAATTGTGTAATGCTGAAATTCTATTTTCTCTAATTGTTTTAATCCATAAAGAAACTGATCTCTGTCAAATTTAAATTTCTTCAAACAATGCATAAACGTGCATTAATTAATAAACGTTTAAATATGAAACTAAACGTGTTCGACTTTGTTTTTTTAACGAAAACAAAGACACTTTGAATATTTTCATTCTAACAATTTATTGAATTAGTTTTTCATTAAAATTTTCTATATCAAACTATTATAAGTAGATAAAAAGTCATGGATGCTGTTACAATTAATGTGTAGGCACATATGTACACGTAACTCACAATACTTGTAACAGCTATTAGTCTGAAATTTTATCTGTATCCCAATTCCTTCTTACCTTGAACATATGTTGTCCTAGCACGTAAAATGTATATATCATTCATACGTGTGTACATACATATGTATATCGTTTTATGAACTCTGAAATATTTATCGTTTTCAGAGTAAGAGCACGTATACACTAGCAGCCAAAAGTTTCGAATCACCCACCTATTTACATCAATATTGAATCTATCGCTAACTCTTTATAGATTTAAAACTGATGTTGTGGAGATCTACTTCTTCTTGGAAATTTACTTCATTTCAATGATTAAAAAATTCTTTAAAATTGCTAACTATTTTCTGCAAATTTTTTGTGGAACTTGCAATACACAGTGATCCCAAAACTTTTGGCTAACAGTGAATATTTGTTATACGTATTTAACACGATAGTGAAGCATTCGAATAAAAATTTATTCGTATTCAAAAGCAAACGTAGGCTTATAATCCTAATTGTTTAAAACTATTTTAATAAGTTATTTCGAAAATATTTTTATATCTTTGACAATTCAGAAAGAACTGAAAATTTTTAAGTTGACCAGAATTCGATTATAACTAATCTAAAGATAAAATTTAGTTCAATCAATTTATTTCAATTTTTCGTAGTAGATTATTTTGCTGATTTCGTATTTTTTCTTGGTACTGTTGGCTTTCATTGCTCCAAATGAAAAAGCGTGATAAACTAAAATTTGGTAGTAATTCGATTACGTAGAATGTTACTAGTAGATATTGACTTAGAAATAAGTTGAAAGGTAACTTTATTATAATTGTAATATTGCAATTGGGTTAATGCAAACGTAATACACAATACACAAATATGAACTTAAACAGATCGATGGTAGTGACTCTTTACCATGTGTATATAGCGCGTACTATGATAATGTGTTTTATAGCGTTACTTACGTTATTATCTTAGTTGTATGCAGAGTAATTGCAATGCTAAACGGCGTTCACGTAATGTTGCAGTTGACAATTAACCGAAACATTAACTGGTTTCGTAATCAATAACAGTCAACTAATAACTTACTAATTTTCTATTTCGAAAATTTATAGCTATATCTGTAGGAATGCTTAGTTAAAGCGAATTCACTAATGAAGTTGAAAATAGCCAACTTGATAATAGTATTAGCCAACTACGACTAGAATACAATTCATTTGATTACTATGAGCTTACATGACAGAAAGGAAATCGATATGATACCATTACAATGAGCATCAATTTAAAATTCGTACTTATGTCATCTATAGGTTTTCATATGGAAATATCTAACGTGGAAGTATGGAAATAAGACACGTTAAATAGTATAACAAGATATAAGAATATTCGAGAATTTATGAAAAATTGTTTAAAAAAAATTTTTGATACCATTTATAAACAAAGTATGGATACCAGGAAATTATTCAAAGAAGAATAGAAACGAAACCAAAACGCGAAAATTTTTTTTATAGTTTCTAGAAGTCTTCTTAATATTTCGACTAATTTTTGCGGAATTTACAAAAAAATTGTTGATTTCTGAATTTCTTTATTAAAATTGAAGGATCGCAAAAGATCAATTGCACTTTTGAAATATACACAGATTTCACAGCATTTAGATTGTATTCAATTAAATCGTAAATGGTAATGATATACACAGACAAATAATAACGTAACAATTAAAATTCGAGTGCCACCATTGAACATAGAATTCAAATGATAAAAACACCACTATTCATTTTACTATTACTTCGATTTTTTATCGTATACAAAAGAAAAATTGTTTCCTAGCATTATGTATACATCATCCTACAACCTCTACCAAACATTGATCGTCAACGATAAAAGCTGTCAAACTTTAAAAAAAATTTCTATCACAAAGCCATAAAGCATAGAGATACTTTTATCACTGTTATCAATACCATGTCCCTACGTCCATATGTCGTGCAAGAAAATTGTATTTCAACAGAGAGTCACGTTATTTGGATCACGATACTGTTAGAATATCCTACTCGCACAATACATTTTATTAGAGCATTAACAGGTACGAATGGTACGAATATTGAAATGAAGCCAGGTGAAAAACATAGTAGAGAATCTTCTTACCAACCCAAGCGTAGAAACGAAACTGCAAGTAGAGTAGAAATCACTGTAAGGGGTAGGTCACGGATGGCGCCACAGTAAAGGCAACCACCCCCGCTGCAAAGCTAGGCGAAGCGAGGTGCGGCGTGGCGAAGGCTGCAAATCCACCCCCGTAAAGCGGTCCGCCAGCCAAGGGGTTTGGAAAGTCGCCATTTCTGCCTAACTCCGCAGTCTCTGTATCCACGTTTTAATGCCAATGAAATGTCAAGGCACGTCGCGCGTTATAGACTCGTCGACGTTGTCGAGCTACTTGGTGACTCCGTAAGCTCGTGCATCGTCACGTTGTCGCGGGTCCTCGGGACCTCGTTGGTCGCGCTCGTACTCGGGCTACTCCTGCTTGTGCTCGTGCCCGTGTTCGCGCTCGTGCTCACACCTGTGTTCGTGATCTTACCCGTGTCCGTGCCTGTACCAGTGCCCGTGCCCGTGCCTGTGCCCGTGCTCGTCCTCGTGCTCGGTGTTTCAGGAACCGCGGCTTCTCGTGCTCAAGTAAGTACGCTCCTGCCGATTGAGCTCTGAACTACATAGAAAATACGGAACGAGGACAAGGAAAGGAGGTTGAGCCTAAAGTAAAACGCGAGTCAGCGTAGATAAATCTGACCAGTCTTCCTCGGTGATTCCTTGACCTTGGCACTCGCTCAGACCAGAGATAGTCTGTCAACGAAAACAACTGGGAACGAAAAAAAAAAAAAAACAAAAAAACACACGAAAAAAAAAAAGAAACGAAACAGGAAACCACGAGTACGATAGCTTAAATTCTGGCTGAACAGAGAGAGCCCTTGATCAAAATCTTATATGCTACGAACGACGGTCAGGTAAAAGAAATCGTTCGTCGGAGACCGCCGCCGAATCGGTTCACGATGAGCGAGCAAGATGTGGATGACGTTGCCTTTCTGACAGGTGAGACATCTCCGAGAAGCTGGATAATTTTTTGGAATAGCCCCGGATATATCGGGTCCATTTCACTTTCATCCCTTATAATCACACGTACTGGCGCCTTTTTTCACACCTTTGATTTTCGTCCTTTTCCCGATTTTTCGCTATCTCCACGTTCTCCTCTCCTCCCGCTTCTTTTTCGTCTTTCCCTCACGTTTTTTTCACATTTTTATACAGACGATTTCGCCTTTGAAATCGTTCGAACAGATGGCCCACTTACGACCCTCCGGGCTGTGAATAGACTATACGAGAAGCACGTGCGTGCGATCAATAAGAGAGAAGCTTCAGATCTTCCAAAATGAAGCACGCAACACACCTCTATTCTCGAGTATACCTGTGTCTGACATTATTGCTCATTGATTAACTAGTTCCTTATTAACAACGTGCACGAACGTTTATAGTGCGCGTAAACATATCATCCGTCCTAGCATTGTTGTTACTCCGTTAACGATACAATATGTTGCAACCATTACGAACGATATTGTCGTTGTTGTTTCACGAAATGTAAATGGATCGTCGCGGTAAAATTATCTCACGTACATCTTCCAAATGATCTCTATGCTTTTTGTGTTGTAGTTAAGTAAGTGTGACGTATACATCTGTTGAAGCTAAACATATGTTTCGCGATACCCTTTTATTGATATCGTTTTCAACGTGTCGATTTCGACGTATGTAATTGCAATTAGTACAGTGTCACAAAGTTGCCTTTCAAATGATAAAAATGTACACAACCACATGTGTTTTGAAGTAACTGCATTAACGTCAGTGTGGATTGTCGCTCAGTAGTGAAAAATCTAGGTCAAGTGTGTAGCCATGGACACGAAACTTGTTCCTCATATTGCTGGATATGTATTATGTAGACAATAAAGCGTTCTTACATTGAAACTTTGTCATTGTCACATATTCGATCTGTTCCATCAATTTTACATAATATACTTACAATCTGATCGTTCTACATTTTCCTTCAGTTTTTGGACACGGTATTATCAAAGAGAAATCTCTCATACCAGTACATATTTTACGCTATAGTACACATGTACGTGCAAGCTTCGGTATTCTTCAGAAAATCCTTTGTTCCAGGAGACAGCAATACAGGATTGCACAAACGTAGTATTTATGAGCACAATGGAATTGTGTGTTCTCAAAAAAGGGCTCTCTGCATAGCTACCGTCGTTTTAGCGATCCTTTTCGTCATATCACTCATCATTGCCTTCGCGGGACCACAGAATGGTAATATCACAATTCCGTTAATACAAATAATATTAATATTCTCTATATCTCATTTCTCTCTTACTCTACCCTAATTATTACTTTCTCTGTTTTCTTTTCTGCTTTTTTTTTTTTTTGTTCTGAATAGACTGCCCTTGTGCTGGAGAAAAACCAGCCAACCTGGAAATTGAGGACGCTGAGAAAAGCAGTGAGCCTCTTGCAACTAATGGAGAGGTATGGTTACTTATGTTTACTTTACTGACTATACCATCGTAATGTTGAAGTGGAACAAAACGTGCTTGTGACATATATTCTAGGCATAGTACACACGTAACTGAAAGCATGTGCTCTCGTAAAAAATTTTAATACAGACCAGCTATAATTGAAACATCGTAACTCATACAAATGATCGAACGTTTCTTGGATATAAAATCTTTTTTACCAAGAGACGAAGTAGAAAAATAGTATAAACGTTACATAGAATTACAATGTATCATTGTACGAGTCTGCACGATACGGAGTATTTAAATGATATATTCGATTTATTAAAAAAGAAAGTAACATATGTTGTAATTTGATAAAATATTAGAGTTTACGAATTAATGTTAACATTTCGTGTATCCTGCTTTCGTTCTAATTACCGCTTTAACTCGTTTTGGTATACCATTTACAAGATTTCTGCGTTGTTCCCCTTTAATATTTTCCCACGCGCTCTTTACCTCTATCCATAGTCATTGAGTACTTCCCGAACCATGCTCAAAGTCGGCAATCGTTATTTAAAGTAAACTCCGTAGATGTTCTATTAGGTTTAAATTGAGAGATTGCGAAGGCTAATCGAGGACTTTCAAATTCCTGATTTATTTGCTATTTCTTAGATTGCGTTTAAGATTATGGTGATGTTGAAAAGTATCTTCCGACACAGTTTTCTTAAACTATGACTACTTTTTTTATAAAATGATTGCATAAAATTTTACAGTCATGCTTCTTTCAATTTTTTGTGTAAACTCAACCCTAAATCATAATGTATAATGAATATTACTTGCAACAGTTCATCAGAAATTCTTCTGACTCGAAATAATTAATTTTCACTTCACCAGATCAATGTAATACGATCAAGTTTTGGGAAATTTTTTAATTTTTTTAATAAATCATGACCAAATATTATTTTTATACGTTCACGTACTGGTATTTAATATTTCGGGCGTCGCGCTGTTTCTGCATCAATATTAGTATTACAATGCATATGTAAATCATGCTTCATTTGTACGGCATTGTTAACACTACCGTTACGTATTGATTATTAGCTGTTTTATAGTACAGAACAATTTTTATTTCAGTGTTGTTTTATTTTTCTCAAAAAAAAAAAAAATGTATTAAATAAAAATGAAATATATGAAACGTTTGATCAAATGTGAATGAGTCTCGTAATTAGATAACGATGGGATAAGATAATATTAAATCTTTTCTCGATATTTAAAATTTTAAAACAATGGCTAAATAGGGCTTGACATTCCCTTAATATATCTCTAAATAACTATGTATACTTTACCAGTTTTTAATATATAAAGTAAGTAATACATAAATTGCAAGATATAGAAATGAAAATTTGATAGATATGTTATGTATGAATGTACATATGTATATTGTACTTCAATGCTTGAGCTTGCAAGCCTTCGTCTAAAGTTAAACATGGGTACAAAACGTCTTGGCGGGAAATCAATTGAAAGGTATCATTACAATCTATAGTACAAACTTAGACATTGATATTTTATTATTAGCTACATAGAAAGTCAGTTTTCCGACATTGAATATATAAAACGTACACTTCTATAGTGTTCTGCTGAATTCACAATACAAAAGTGAGCTAATACAATTGAATTATTATAGGTGTTTCCTTGGAACAACGTGAGACTACCTACCTTTGTGCATCCTACTAGATACAATATTACCATCCATCCAAATCTTACCACCTTAGAAGTAAAAGGTAAATAACACAAAATTGTTACTAGTTTATTGCTTAGAACAGTAATTATTCAATTTTAGCCTGAACAAAATTTACCGAATTCATTCATTTTTTTTATGTTACCATTTATACGTATACGTATAAAAGATACGATAAAATTTTTAGGATGTAAGTCATATGTTACCCTTCAAATTGAGAAAAAAAAAGAAATTAATTTAGATTGAATTTTTTAAAAAATATTGAGAGACTCAAAATAGCGAAAAAATTAAATAATTCCTAATTTTCATTTCTAGGACAGGTCACAATCGAATTTTATGTCGATAAAGAAACCAATTATATCGTCTTCCATAGTAAAAATTTGACAATAAATGAAAAAGTGAGTACAGTTTAATATGGCACAGGTTTTATCAAATTGTAATTTTTCAAATATCAATTTTCAGATGGTTCAAGACCGTAAAGGCCACAGGTTAAAAATCGCAAAATTATTAGAATATCCGAAACACCAACAGTTATATCTAGAATTGGAAGAGAGTAAATTTCGAAAGAGAGGAAATTATACGGTGCATCTGAGATTCATTTCAAAACTAACGAATGAACTCGAAGGATTTTATCTTAGCAGCTATGTTACCCCAGAAGGAGAAAAGAGGTCACTCTGAAACTGTAATAATTTTCTGTTTGGAAAATTGCTCAAGGCGCATCTTCATATGGAATAAGATCATGACTGAATTTTTTCTTTACTTTAGGTACCTGGCCACGACTCATTTTGAACCAACTTATGCACGTTCTGCATTTCCATGCTTTGACGAGCCGCAGTTCAAAGCTAAATTTAAAGTGTCAATATTCAGAGATAGATTTCACATCGCATTATGTAATATGCCGGTGATGAGCAGCGAAGATACGGGATTTTATATGGGCACAGGACTTGTAAGTACCAAACAATTTTCAATTCAATATCGACAATAAATATCAGCTTTATCTATTATTTAGCTGAATTTTCTTCTATTTAACAAAAATTCCTACATTATTTAACAAATATTCCTATTTTTATTTCAGTATTTTTATTTATTTTATTTTAATATTTTTTCTTTAGTATTCCTATAGTATTTCCTATTTTCTATAAAACAAATACTCTTACAGTATTTAACTGTGTATACGATATAATTTAAATCAAAGCGTTAAATTGCCTTAATTATTTTCACACACGATTAACTACATCGATTGTATAAACTTTTTAGCTTCGAGACGACTTCCAAGAATCAGTAGAAATGTCGACGTATTTGGTGGCATTCGTAGTGTGCGATTTTAAACGAGTTTCCGAACCAACTAAGAGAAACATTTCTGTGAGTGTTTACGCGGCAGAAGCAATGCTGCCACAAGCAAAATACGCTGTAATTACTGCTGCTCGTACAATGGATTACTTCGAATCTTTTTTTGGCGTGCAGTATCCTTTGCCCAAACAAGGTAGGTAAGAAAATCCAGATACACGTGTATAAATTTGACAAATTCTTCTCTTCAATAACACTATGTATTTCACAGTGACGCATAATTCGCAGCGCGAAGAGTTACTTTATAATACGCATCTGTATCAAAAAAAAAAATTTCATTTTTCTAATTTCATCGATTTTTCCCAGATTTAATAGCTATTCCTGATTTTGCCGCTGGAGCAATGGAAAATTGGGGCCTAATCACATACCGAGAAACATCCATACTTTACGATCCGCAAGAGACATCGACCAATGCTCACGAATGGGTAGCTGTAATTGTAGCACACGAACTGGCTCATCAATGGTTCGGCAATCTTGTTACTATGAAATGGTGGAACGACTTATGGCTGAACGAAGGAGCGGCCAGTTTCTTCGAGTACAAAGGAGTGAATCACATCTCGCCTGAGTGGAGTATGATGGATCAGTTTATTTTAGCCAAAACCCAACCGGCCCTCGATCTCGACGCCTTAGCCAGCAGTCATCCTATAAGCGTGCCAGTAAAAGATCCAAATGAGATAGAAGCTATATTCGATGATATCAGTTACAGTAAGGGCGCTTCCATTCTCAACATGCTTGAAGGCTTTTTGTGTGAGGATGTTCTTAAAAATGGATTGAACGATTATCTGAAATCGCACGCGTATGGAAATGCAGACACGAACGATCTTTGGGCGGTCTTTACGAAACATGCAAATAACACCTTTGATGTGAAAGTAGGTATAAATTAGACGAATATACTTTACGATCTTTTAATTAACGCAAGAAGAAGGGTGAAAAGAATTTGACAATACCGACGATAAAAGTAGATGTGTGAATGGTGGTCAAGTGCATTTACTAACTTTGTGAACGCAATAAAAATAATGCGAAACGAGGAAAAGTTGGTGTCATGTACATCGACGAAGAAAATGTGAAAAATCTGTGTATAAACTAAACACTCTGAAACACTTTTTTTTTTTAAAGAGACGAAACATATCTGTACACGCTGAAAGTTTCTTGATAAAATGTTGTACAATTATCGATATAAATTAGATCCTCGTAATTTTACTACTGTTTCACAGATAACGCAGTTTAAATGGTACAAAAAAGGGTAATTTGCATATTTCGCAGATTTAAAAAATTAATAATCTATCAGGACTGCTACCAAATAGTAGAAAGATTTCAAAACCTATTTATCTCCTTGCAACACAAACTTACAATGTACATTTAAAAATGAGAAAATTACATTGAATATTTGTTATATACACAACTCGAAAAACATTTCGATATCAATTTTATAGAATATTTGTCAAAAATATATAACAATTTTAACAATTCCTAACTTTCTTCAAATACCACGAATAAAATGACAATTAATCATTTTTCTCATATTGGTTCTATCTATTTTGTCTAAAATTTTATTCGAAATCTTCAAATGAAAATTTATTCACATGCTTTATTTTATTGCAATCTAATACTGTTTTTTTTTTCTTCTAACGAAATCTTATTTGTTGTTCGTAGCTCTTAATATTTAAATGAGATTAAACGTGTTGACAGGCTATTATGGATACGTGGACCCAACAAATGGGTTTTCCTCTGATTACAATTACACGCGATGGAAATACAATTACAGCGGTCCAGACGAGATTTCTAATTTCACCAAAAGAAAATGGTACAGAATTAGTACAGTCAAAGTCGCCCTTTAACTACAAGTGGTATGTCCCGTTGAGCTACTACACAGACAAAGAACCGCGCAAGCTTCACAACGTGTGGATGAATTTAACCGATGGTAACATATAGGACAATTATAACGAACATTTTTTGTATAGATTTATTTATCAGTATTAAAAGAATAACTGTTAGATAAACCATCGTTATTAGCAAATAACTTCATTCGTTTTGTTAATTCTATTTCTTAGACATTAATGAATGCAACTTCCAAGGCACGTGAGATTATAGATCTTTAAATAAACCTAAAAAGCATTTAATTTAAATATTTAATCAAATTCAAGTTGATAGGCAGAGAATATACGACAGTTTGCCAAACGAATGAATTTCTTGTCTAATAATGTTTATATTCTATTTATCCCTTGTTTAAAGTATCTATTGTATGTTTTCAGTAACGTTTGAGATATCCAGCGACGTGGAATACATAAAATGTAACGTGAATCAAAGTGGATTTTATCGCGTAACTTATCCGGAAGAAATGTGGTCTTCGATCATTGCTACCTTATTAAGCGATCACACCAAGTTCAGTCCAGCTGATCGTGCTAATCTTATCGACGATGCGTTCACGCTTTGCGAAGCGGGAGAATTAAATGCTACCATACCTCTCGAGCTATCTCTTTATCTTCTAAATGAAAGAGATTATGTACCATGGGCTACAGCGCTTGGATATTTACACTCGTGGAAAGGAAGGCTGAGCGAAAGTCCTGGATACAAAAGATACATAACATTTTTGAAACGACTGCTAACTCCAGTTACGAAATATGTCGGTTGGGCGGATGAAGGATCTCATTTAAAGAAGTACGAATGATAAGTAAAAATACTGCTGAAAAGTTGAAAAGATGTCCAGCGGGGCAGCAAAAGGGATACTTTGTCTTCATATCGAACTTATAGGAGCAAAACCGAGGAAAAATATAAAAGCCATGATGGTTTTTCTTGCCAGCCGAAAGTCGCGGCTTCTCGAGTCCTGTTGGATCCCTTATTATTATTTCGGCTCCCATAGGTAGTGTCAAAAGTGGGATGGAGGTATCTATGATCACACGGGCAGTGATGATGACAAAGTTGAAAGTTGAAAATTGAAGGTTGTGCGCTTGGGACATTCGAGGGCTAATGTCAGCGCAGGATGGCCAAGTGTAGGATCATTGGGGCCTTCATACCCATCAAAAAGAGCAAAAAAACGCGCCTTAACTATGAGCATAGAGTCCCAAAGTTCGATTGCAGCTTGGTCCCTAAAATTTTTCCTCGGCTCCTACACTATGTGATCCGATTCGTCGATTTTATTGCGCTGGCCAATAATGACAATACGTGTGCTCTATTTCTAAGCTTACGTTAGAGAAGATGGGCCTATCAAGCCCCTATAGCTTCCTCTGGACATCTTTCCAGCTCTGCACAATCCTATAATACTATTCTTTTCGTTATTGGTTTATTTATTTTTCCGAAATAGTAAATTCTTGTGTTTAACATGTATGAATGTATTGTAGGAATTCGTTGTATTTCTGTTTCACAGATTATTACGGATTGCCGTACTTCAATCAGCTGTTTCTGTAAAATTGGACGATGTTGTAAAACCAGCGAAAACTCTTTTCGAAGATTGGATGTTAAGAAACAAACGAATCGCTCCAAATATACGAGATGTTGTATATGTTGCAGGTAATACTATTTTCTTTACCACAATGAACTAAATTACACTTCGTCTTAATACATTTCATTTTGTATTTATACGTAGGAATCAAATTTGGCGGTGAAAAGGAATGGAATCATTGTTGGGAAAATTATCAAAAAACTCAGGTACCCAGTGAAAAGACAATAATGTTACAAGCGCTGGGAGCGACGACAGATTCATGGTTGCTACAACGTTACCTTTTACGATCGTTGGATCGAGACACGGTGAGATCACAGGACGTTGAAACTGTTATAGCTTCAGTCGCTACCAATTCCGAGGGTCAATTCTTCGCATGGCGTCATCTTAAAGCATATTGGCCTCAAATATACGCTTTATTCGGAAATGGATCGCTCTCAATGGGTGGACTTATATCTGTCGTAGTTTCTGACTTTTTCACGGAATATGATTATCACGAGGTAAGATGAAAATGAAATATCACGTAATTTTTTGTCATATTAAACAAATCTTCCTAATAGAACCTATTTAATTAGTGAAATTTTAAATATTATTTAATCCAATACCAGATGATAAATCGACTTTGATGCAATATTAAAAATTGTTCGTACTTTTAGTAATTTACTGACGCAATTTAACGTGCATACTTTTAATTTTACGGGCATAATTGAAAAAAGTAAACAATATTTCGTGCGTTCTTTCATATCGTACATGTTACATGAAAACACCAAAAAAATTAATATTTAATTAATACCGTTTATCTATACGAAACGATAAAAGATATTTTTATCATTCTGCCTTAGATTTCGGAATTCTTTAAAAACGTGGACGTTGGAAGCGGTCAGCGAGCATTAGAACAAAGCCTAGAAACAATCAAGTTCAATATACACTGGATAAAAGAGAATGCAGAGATTGTTGATCGATGGCTTATAAATTATTTGGACATTAACAGAAGTTAACCCCTTGTTTATCATGAATGGGACAAGAATGGCGTGAAATTACCATCTAGTCATTCAGTGACAATATTACTTTCTTTTTGTGGTATTCGCCTACACACGAAACTTTCATGGTGATGTCACCTGTGGAAGGGATAAGGTCTTTGTTACTATTAAACGAGGTAACTGAATCATTTATTTACCACTTAGCCATAAATTCGCAGATCAAAAACAACCCCCCCCCCCCAATTTCCGTCGTACACGTCCAAAGATTGTTTCCACAGGTTAGAATATTTGACGATCCTTCGATGAACGAAGGATTGCTCCTCGATCCTTTGGCAAACAGACAGAAAGCAAAAAAAAGAAAACGAAAAAACAAAAATATTACCGAATTCAAACGAAAGCTCATACTATCAAATTTATCCGTCATGCTATCAAAAAAAAAAAAAAATCTTTTGACGAATCGAAACAGAGCCGAATTGTTTGTATGTAACACATTATACACCAATTTATACGCACTTTCGAAAGTATTTATTTACTATACACGCTGTGTGTGCAGATTGAATTTACTATGTATAAAGAAAGAAATTATAATGAAAGAAGAGACAATGTTGTTTCTAGGGTAGTCGTTAACCCGACATATTCTGAACGAAAGAAAAAAGAAAAAAAAACAACAAAGGGCTAACGACGTACACCTATTAACGTTAATACTTTAGTCTCCCAAAATATAATATACTTTATTACAAGGAGTGACAGTAGTCACCTCCACGTGATACCCAAAGCCCCATTCCTGATCCATCCAGTGTAGCAATTCAACACAGCGAAATGAGCTTGCTGAAAATCCGACGAAAAATGCTACTTACACATTTCACAATTCAGCCGTATGCTGTGTAAGAGGAGTAGCCATAACGTGGTTTTACAGTATAGTTAGACATCTAAAGAATTTCATTGATTTAATATTTCTCGTTCATATGAGTATTAAGTCAGAAAATATTTGTACGATTATTTCATGCAAACAAAATTTTTATAGTGGTAAACATAAAAAAAAAAAAAACACTTAGAATTGACACTATATCAATATCAATGACGATCGTTGAAAATTCACTTTTCGAACAAAATTTGGCTACTCCTGGTAAACGTACCGTGTGATTTGCTGTAAATAAAGTGAAGGAACAGCGTTCAATTGTGTTAGTACTATTTAAGTAGTTACAGAACATGCCCGAAATGATTGTGCAAAACTGTCGGTTAATATTAGTAGCATATCAACGTTGAAAAAAAAAAGTTTGACAGATTAAATGCGCCGTGTCTTTGTCAAACAGAATTCTAGTTTCGTGGAAATGGTAATCAGACAAAGAAGATTTGGCCTCGAGTATAAAGAAACAAAAAAAAAAAAAACACACATACATATGTCTCTCGAAATAATAACAAAAAAAAAAAAAAACATTAATGTACCGTGCGTGTCATGTATTAATATTGTCGTATATTTACTGGATGCACGGGATATGTCTCGCGTGGAGTTGATCATTTTCCATGTGAAGTAGGATAATAGAGAATCGGATATTTTATTATGAGAAAATGTATAAATCTATGTATGTAATCTTTTGATGCTTTGTATGGCGTGTACATATTGGAGTAAGAGAAATGTGTGCCCTGTGTGATCGAATATATTAGGCCTGGTGCACACGAGCGAGTTTTGTCGCGCGAGCATTTCTCACTCGTTCAAACAGTACACCGAGTTATACGACGAAGTACAGAGATAAGCGAGCGTATAGTCGGTGGAAGCGATACAGCGAGGTCGTAAAATCAGTCAGGTGTCGAAACACATTAGAGCTACAATTAGATCGCAAATCACGACGTTAACCCTTTCACTGCGGCAGATTTTAGTAGAAAATCTTTGGTTTTGGCCACATCGTTTTGAAATTGATTTTATTAAATTAAGGTAGAAGTGTGCAACGGATAAAATTAAGATAGAAGTGCGCCAATAGCCTTCAAAAGCACAGTGCGAGCAAATTTTCAAAGCGCTCATAGGTGCCGACAGCAATGAAAGGGTTAAGCGAAAACATCGATTGATCTAGCCGCACGCAGGGCCGTACGCGTGTTATAGAAGGCCCCCAAATCTCAAGTAAAGAAAGACGCCGAACTCTCAGATAACCGGCATTTCTAGCAGCCACATGGTAGCTGCAATTGGATCAGTATAGACCCGTATCTATCTTTCTTTCTGTTTTCTTCGCTGCCGTTCCAAATTCGCGATGTAAACACAATGATAAACGTAGAAAAGGAAAACACTGAATCCCACAGATCAATGTGAAATATTCGAAAAGCGAAAATTTCGTACAGTAGTGAATAAACAGGCGAACTTCGCTGCCCCTGCGAATATTTCGCGTTGATCTGGAGATTCCTTGATGCAGTGCTGTCCAACTAAGGGCCCCTCACGTGCCTGCTTCTTTCCGTGCCTCTCTTTCCGTAGTAAAAAAAGCTTAGTCTCCCGGGAGACACAACTCGGGACAGCGCTGCTTTAATGCTTTAACCCTTTCACTGCGACAGATTTTGATACGTAACACGCGTGGCAGACGGTAAATGTTCAACCACGACCGCAAAATCTTTTGTTCCGGCGTTTTAAAATTTTTTAGAAAATTAAAAAATTTACTGTTTTGAAAGATAAGGATTAAATTCACTTCAAAGGCGCAGTGCGAGCAATAGCAGCGAAGGGTTAATTTACGACCTCGCTACATCGCTTCCACCAACTATACCTGTGACGATACCCTGCGAACTCGCAGCGTGTAAAAATTGACTGCCGGTTCTTACTAGCCTGTCGTAAGATATTAAGTGTCTTTTACGTGTCGCTGAAATACTGCATTGCTTTCTGTTCTGTAACGCTGTATCTGTATATATACCAGTTACGGTAAAGCGCGGGAAAAACTCGCTCGTTTGCACAAACACGAAGAGAAATATCCGTGCGACAAAAACCTGCTCGTCTGCACCCGGTCTTAAAAAGGTATCTAGATGCATACAAAATACATGAATGCCAAATTTGTGCTGGCTTTTATAAGAAAACTATTCATACGATTTTGGTACGACGCGTAACCTTGAAATGCTAACGAAATTAAGTTTTTACATCAACTATCGTTAAGTATTAGGAATATGACATTTATTCTCTGTACTTATATTACTTCCTACATTCTTCTAATTATTCATCGACAATAAGCATATAAAACGATATAGCAAGGAAGTATTAAAAAGAAAAGAAGTATAAGAAAATTCGTTTACTACTATTTTTAGAAAATGAAAACCTAATTTTAGCATTTGAAGGTTAATGTACCGAAGTCTAGTGGTAAAACTGTACAGAAAACCGATTCTATAGATACAAAAGGAAAAAAGATAGGAAGTACCAAGGTTATTTCAGCGCGATGGTATTGTATGTATAATATGTATAGTACGAGAAAAAAAGAAAAAAAATTAGGCGACACGTAAAAAACAATGTTTCTAACTTAATTGGAAAATCTCGAGACACCTTGTATACGTTTGGATTTTACTCCTCGAAAACTATTTTCTATGCGTCTCTTACCTTCCGCTACACGTATCCATTGGTCGGAATGAATCCTCACGTACATGTTGGATTTTGCGTAGTTTCATCACTCTCGTAACAAAGAAGAAGAAAGAAAAAAAAAGAAAATCGAGTACTCGTTACCTAATAGAGAAACGTTTACGGTATGATTAGCCCTCACGCTCAGAGCACATAAAACGTGAATGATCTTTATTCTTGATCTATTAAAAAAAACCCAAAAAAAAAAAAAGTAAGAAGAAAACTGTGAATGATACTTGCAGTTCGAATTCCCGGCGAAAAACTTAGTACCTTTACGAAGTTTCTGTCACCTTTTTTACAATGTTTTCAGAGTACAATGACTTCGAACGATGTTTCTTTGTAAAATTCATCAATTTTTATCGGATTAAGATTCCCCCGGCTGGAATTATACAGATATGTTTACATTAAAAGAAAAACAAAAAAAAGGAGAAAATCTATGAAGATAACGGCTGCATGAATGGTTCATCCCTTTAAGTAGATTTTGATACATTCCAACGGCGAATTAATAAATCGACGCACAACTAGATACCTTACATGTACATAGCATATTTTTTCACTAACGGATATTCTCTCCTGTTAAAGATTTAATAAACGAAGTCGCTCCATGATATTTGCGAAAACGCCCGGTTCCGCCGGTTTCGGTACGATGGGAGTACGAACCGATTGGCCTACTTTACAACATTCGTATTATATCCGAAAGTACTTGTTTAAGAGATATTATATAGTTCTCTCGTTGCTTTTGTTCAAGGGTGAAAATCGCACAGATCGTCATGTTCCTTTACAAACAGAAATTTACATATAATCGATAAGTGTATAATTGTCAGGAAAAAGAAGTTACGCATGATTATTGTGTTTTAACGAAAATCGGCTAGTCAGCTCTAATCTTTCTTTGAACTATTACAAAGATCTAACAGTATTAGAAGAAACCCATTCTTTATCGAGGTGTTGGAAATTATATCAAACAGTAAGGAGACATAAACTTGTTTTCATGTTTCGAATGATTTAAATATCAATCAAATCTATTAGACGCGAAGTAAATCCGATGTAAAAGTTCTACCGAAAGACTGGACATCAGAATAATCAAGAAGAGTACATACTTATATGTATTTTATGCAATCACGATCCGATACCGTTATGTCTTAAGAGAACGAGGCTGTCTTGCATCTCATATTTATGAATGAATTATTGATATAATTATATATTGTATACCGTTCTCTACTGTACTGTTATCATAGATATTTTGTTGTATAAGAGAATGCGAGATATGTACAAGCATACAAATGAATATATTATATGTTTAAAATAATTTGTATCTTATTTAATTGACATATATTCAATTTTAAGTTGCTTATTTTTACTTATTTTGGCACGAGCCACTGTAGGCTGGAAAGGTAGAAACACGTGCTTGGTTATCAGTATAGATATTATTGAAATATGTCAGAAATAATAAACGAATTGTAATAGGAGACCGATAGTATTCAAGGCATAAAAGGTAAATAAACAGAAACAAGATGGAGAAACTTAACAGGTCTACCAAACGATTGAAACACAAAAATAAAAACAGAAAAGAGGTTAGGACGCCAAATATGTACACATGTCGAATATAAAGAAACCGACTACGAAAGTAAAAGAACCTGACATAACCCGTAACAAAAACTGATAAGAAGAATCGTTTAAAAATGTGATCGGAGAATCAGTGACAATATTATAAAGGGTAAAGGATAATATCTAGGTGTCATTTAATAATTAAACATAAGGAAAGAAAATAAAAAAAACTCCTACAATTTGTGCACGAGATTTATAACTGAGGATAACTATTGAAGAAGTGATAGGGGGGGAATGATAAATTAATTAAGAAAATGATAAAATTAAAAAGTGGTTACAGTATTTGGAAATAGAAAAAAGATAGAATATACAAGAAAAATAATATAATCATAGGAGAAATATCAATTCAGACAAGGATAGTATAGTTTGTCCAGGCAAAAGTGAAGTTTCTGGGAGGAGTTAGCGTCAGACAGTGGGAGTTAATCAACCAATCACGATAGAATAAGGCAATCGCACTTACTCTTCCATGAGCAACAATAGGCAACGATCGAGCATCGTGACATTACCGACCGCTGGTTGAAACTAATTCGTCTAATACAACAGTTCCCTTTAAGCGAAGGCAGTGTAGTTTAAATTTAAAAAAAAAAGGTAGTGTACAAGTATTAATATTTCAGAAACTACGTTGAATTAAAAAATCTGCTTTTGGGGGATTAAATTAGATGGAGGGGAATACTAGTAAATACGTGCAGGTGTAAGTTAGCTAAGTACAAGAGTTAAGGTCATTTCCAGCTGGCCAGTTGGATTTTTTTAAACGATACATAGTATATTTTTTTCTACAAAATGATAAAGCGTAACGAGACAAATTCAACGACCTCATATGTTGCATGATTTCATTGAGAAATACAACGACAAAACGTTAAAGGAACATTTAAGCATTTAAAAAATTACTTCCAGAATCCCTGAAACCCAGCTATCCGCGGTATACCAGCGGATAAAGTAGGTCAGTAAACGAGGTTATACAGTCTCCGTCAAAAAGAATGAAGCTGTAACAAGTTCTGCATAATTGTTTTTGACGGTGAGAATACGGATGGTTTACTGACCTATCCTACGGGGATCGATTTATTGAACGTGTTTACATTGTATTTTATATATATCATAATCATTTTTTAATTCAAGTTTTAAATTTTTGCGCAAAGTAACTTATTAAACTGCAAGTATTAGAATATCATATTTTGAATTCCAGCTAACATGTTCAATTGCTTATAAAATTTCTTAATTAATAATATTATAATATTTGCGACGTGAATGACACTATTAACACCTACCTATCATATGCATATATAATAAATATATGTAATAAATATTATTGATTGTAATGAAATTCCATTACTAAACTACCCTATATATTAGTATTCAATTTACTTTGTTCTGCATCAATTGTTACGAATATGTTTTGCATGTATATACATATAAATATTAAAAGGCTATACATACAAGGTGTTCAGCAACTAGTGAAAGAAATTTTAAAGGGTGATTTTGTAAGCCAAAGTAAGACGAAAATGTAGAATTAAAAAATTGCATTTGAAGCTTCGTTTTTTAGTTATTAACATTTGAAAATATCTGTTACCGAGCAAATCTCTTTACACCGGCCGATGTTAGGCAGGTCAAGAGACGAAACTATTGTCACAACTAAAAAGCAACGACGCATGGTTAGCAGCTTAGTTCAGAACAGATACGGAAAAGACTTCGTATCTATGTATATAATGATGATTATCCTAAGTAATAATCTGATATCAAAGGCACGTATATTGTGATTATCAAGATTACTCTATTATGTACGGATCAAAATACATTTTTATCAATTTACAATGTCGTTAAGTTTCTTAAAATATTAAATATTTGCATTCGTTTTGACATCATACTACACCTTAGTAGTAAATACTAATTCTATATTTTAGAGAAATATTATTTCTCATAACTTCTTAATCATATGTATATAATATAACGGGGGATAAAATGTATTGTTAAATTTAAGAGGAATTATTCAAAAATATAATAATTTATATATACTTTAATAAGAAGGTGACATAGTGTAACAAAAGCTTACAAGAAACATTATGTGATTGAAAAAGTAATAGTTTGTTGTTTGAAACTATTCAGTATTTATTGCACCTTTATTAGCTAATCTATTTAGTTATAAAATTCAATTAATATCAACATTTTGATGACATGTACTTGTAATAAATTTTTAATATTAAAATAATATTGATTATAATATTTTTGTAATATTCAATCATTTCTTACCTGTCAAATACTTAAAATTGTCATTCAATGTATGTAATTAGTGATTACCTGTTTGAAATCTGTATTTTGGTGCCAACTGCAGAATCGAATGTACCGGCGTATCAGCATATCGGATACGGAAACGTCGATATACTACAAACGTGTGCAACAAGGTCCGCGCCATGTTCAAATAGCGCGGTTGTGGCTCATAGTGACGTAGCCCAAGAAAAATTCCAATTATCTCGCAGTAAAACGACAGATGGTAGCTTTCGCTTCGATACTAATAACTACATCATTGTGCAAAGAAAAATTTTGTTATAAAAAATATTTGTCATTGAGTTTCAAGTGAAATATAGTATAGAATTTGACACTTCATAACATACCTCTAAGAAACGTTTCACTAAACAAATAGTACTCCCCGAAGTTAAGTGACGTAATGTGTTTCACTTCCATGCTTGTAATTGCCAGTGACGATCCTCCAGTCAGTGTTCATCAGTGCTTAAGTGATTCTTTTTAACGCAGAGTAGATTTTGAAATCAAAGATTACTAGAGACATGCTTCAAACAGAGGATTTACCGCGTATGACATCATTGTCACCCGGCAACGATGCAATAGATTTAAAGTCAACGAAGCTTATGTGTGAGGTAAATACTAAAGTGTATGAAAAATTTCGCTACACATATCCAATATATGTACATGCTTGTGTATGCACATGTAATATGTATGTATGCACATGTAATATGTATGCATACACTCATGCACGTGCGCATTCGAATACTGATACATAACACCTATGTATGTATACGTATTTGCTTGAACACTAGTAAACTTGTAGCAGTTTAAAATATGGCAACTGCGCACAGTGTACCAATATGATCGCAAACAAAAATCCTTTATTCTGATTTTAATTTTACAATTAATTTCTTTTCACAGGTTTATTTATTTTTGATAAACATCGTATACATATTGTTCTTTTCTAAAGAAGTCTTTTCTATGCTTTAATCACAATCGTATCTATTCTTCTATAGAATTGCCTACACAGAAATTTTAATATGATTGATTTAAATTATTGATGGAAAACTTTATATTCTGTTGACATAATCGTAGTTCATCTATGAATTTAATTTACATTAGATATTGTTGTTGTCAATTATTACATTGAATATAATTAATTAAAATTAAATCTAATATATGAGTAAGTGAGTAAATATATACATATATACATAATTGTACATAATAGGAAATACTAAAACGAATACACGTATACACTGAAAAATAAAGATATTCGTAAATAATGTGCATTTACAAACATAAATTCTCATACACATCTTTTTTGCAAATGTATCTATAAAATTTTTCGTACTGATGTTTTGATCGCTAAAAGGAGAGGAAGTAAATGTAGTAATGAATCTTCGCATAAACGAATGGACGTTAAAGAAATCGTTACGCAATCAATGAGAACTTCTTTGCAAAGAAAAAGCTAGTGAAAATGCAATGATATACATTATTATATAAGTGCATGTATATTATGTTTCAATGAGATATCGACAGTACTTGTTTAAAAAAGAATTAAAATACGTGTGTAACCAATATATTAATATACTTTAGAGGTATATTAGAATGTATAAAGATACATCGAATATTACTGTCTAAACTCTATGTGTAATTATACTTTTGTGTTTATTCATAAAAAGAACCATACGTATTATAATCGTTTTTATATCATCTGCAGTCTTTATTGCATCATTATTTGCAAACATATTCAAAAGTTATAGACATTTAAAGAAGGAAAAGTTAAATTCGTCTGAGTAGCAATACAAAGTTTAGTATATCAGACATTTAAAGTTGGTGAGTTTAAAGCAAAATGGATTGTTCGATTATAAAAACATATAGGGAGAAATAAGTACTTGGTACGGTCCTGAGAAACGACGTTGCCGGAATGAATGCTGAGTCACATCGTGAACGATTTCTCCTAGGAAGGTGTGCTAGTTCGTTTCTCTGTTAATTATATTGTATTGCATTAATTAACGTTATCATTGTTAAAATTATAACATCATTGAAGCAGGATGATTTAACAAAAGAGGTTCTTGGCGCTTGACGCAGGCCTCGAATATTTAATAGAAATAAATTTAAAGTATCTTATGACCCGGTATTGTTTGTAGATCTGTCAGTTTTTGCTACAGAGTTAAATTTTTATTTTTTATTATATTTGCCATAACGTGTCAGTGTAAAAAAAGTGTTGTTACGCATTCAAAAGGGTATCGTCTTGAATTGTCAAACGAAATCCGAAGCATGCGTGGGACGTGCACGATGTATACTGAAGTTTGACGTGGCCAGTGTGTGTTTTGAGGTTATTTTTGTGTTCGTGTAACTGACCTATACTCGTTTAAAGAGAGCTCCGAATCTTTATTCTCATTCTGACAGTCTATCGAATAAGTTGTTCCAACATAAACTCTAGAAATCATCTTTCTTAACCTAATTTAAACTCTATACTACACTGAAGAAAGAAGTTTAAAAAGTGGTGTTCAACTTTAATAACAGCTAAAATTCTTATTCTGATTTCTTTGTTACAAGATAGTGCATATAACTTTGTGTATATTCAGTTCATCAAAACATAAACAGTTGTGTGAACATTTTTTAACATCTTGATACGATTTAAAGCATTGAAAAAGCAACAGCTCAACATGAATATTTCTTCTTTTGTGACATCCTATCTAATGTTCATATTCAACAACACTGCCAAACCTCTGTGACAATATGCTAACATAATTTGGATTATAAATACATTTGACAATTGGAGTTGGTTTAATTAAACAAAAAGACACAATGTTGTGTATAAAGAAATTATACCATGAGGAACTATTCCAACTTGCATTACTACTTTCTTTATTACGACTGGATCCAGAATCCTACTTTGGTTTAGACATTCAAACCATTGGTGTAGGTTCTTTAGATCTAAACAATGGTTCTAGATGGCACACAGATGCTGATACAATAGTTCATCGCCCCATGTTTGTTCATCCAAAAAATTTAGATTCAATGCTTTTAAATTATGAGAGAGATTTGTTTGAAGACTTAAATTCATTAGGAAGATACAATAGAATAAATTCTAATTTAAATAACATCCATGCATATTTACTAAACGTTGAAGAATCAGCAAGAGATATTGCTATAGCAGGACCCAGTATATCACTTTCTACAGACCCATCTAGGAATATGACATCGCCAGATCCAGAAAACTCACCGCAAAGTTCTAATGAACCAACTAATACGGCAGAACTTACTCAAGAGGTACTTTTTCTTATGTTTTTCAATATGAACTAAATTTTGGGTGTAAATGTAATTGTTTATTTTTATAAATATACAAATTAAATAATGTAGCAAACTTTTATACTCAATCTTATTACAAAGGCAGTAATATACGTACTAGAATTATTAAATAATTCTTACCCATATCCAATGTATAACCCAAAATTTACTTTCTATTATAACAGAGCTTTTTTTTACTTGTAAATTATTATTATGTTCATGTTACAAAATATGTAAAACATTCTGTTTTAGTTTAAAACTATAAACTGTGAAAGTTGTATTCACATGAACTAAACATTTTTGCAAAACTAAGAAAATAGTTATTAAAGCTATAAAATTGGTTTGCTTTTATTTTAAAATTGGTTAGGATTATAGTAATTCCATATGATTTTATTAGTTACTTACTCAGGAAACTGTATAATGTTTTTTATAAGTACTTACATCTCTGGAGACAAAAATATTTGATTAACTTTACCCGATGTTTAAACTTTTAGACATTAAAGTTATTAAAATTATTAAGAAATTGTTTTTCTTGGTCTGTAGTGCTTGACCATAGCAGAAAACAAAGCGAATGACCTTAATGACAAAAATACGTTATCACGTTGTATCCTTGAGTCCTTGCAACGACCTACAGCGGTTAAAAGTTTTTTGTTATTTTTAGTCATGTGAACGGAGTTCTTTAGTACATTCATTCCTCCGAAAATGTTGATTTATTTTTAACTCTTTAACGTTTTTTTTTTCTTTCTACTCTTTTTCATTCCATTATTATTATTATTTTAAAAAATCTTGTATTTGCTTTATGTGTATGAAAATATAACCTTTGGGCGTATTATTAATTTAAATCAATTATTAGAAGCAATAAGAAAATGATCGTTATCTCGTATATAACGCAAAGGATATACAATTATCCTTTACAATTCTACTTAAGTGTAATATTTCATTACTTTTTACATACTGAGGTATTATTAAAATTGTTAAAGTATATTTTTACATATTTATGCCAATATGTACAATATTCATTTGTCCATGCGTGTATAAAAAATATTTCAAAGAAACTTTGCAATTTTGCAATCTCTTATTAGCAATTGCAAATACAAAATTGTTACATGCAAGTTTACAAACAATATCATATACTGAACCCGTATTAAGCACTTGTGTTAAATGAACGCGTAAAATATACAATGTCCATTTTAATTATCCCATGCAGCAAATATCTTAAAAAGTACTAGCGGTATAGAAAAATGTTTCAAACAAAAATTGAACAATTACATATAATTTCCATGGATTTAAATTCTGCATAGGTAGAAATGTCTCAAATATTTATACGTGGTTCTTATTTTTTTTAAATAAAGCTATTATGTACATTAATTTACAACGGAAAAATTACAAAGAAAGATACATTACTTGTTCAATAACATTTTACTAACTAATATATTTCTTCCAAATGTAAGTTTGAAATGTTGTTCAATGCCATATCCTTTAACCTGAATACAAAGGTGGGATCCTCGATCGTTCAATCATCTGTCCATTATTTCAAGTGTCTCAAGTAGCCTCTGTGTTACGTTGAGTAGTTTCTTCCCGATATTCCTACGCGAATACTTCCTGTTCTTAGTTCTGATTTCAGAGGCGCGGCTATTAATTGACAAACTGACCTTCAATGACCTTTATTAATGCATGTCATTATTTTGGTTTTTTCTAGAGCCACACTCTTACATAAAGAACAATACATGATCCCGTTTTAAAAAATTACAATGTCTCAAATATTCAAAACATAGTTACTTATGTACATTAAATTTTCGTTTGAAACATTTTATGATAACGTTAATGCAATACTTTCAACGATACTCGTGGCGTCTTTTCCTTTACAAATCGAGTGCAATATATCTTTTTTTCTAAATATAATTTTTAAACCCAATCCAATGACAGATTTAACAAATTTTCAAAGAACATTAGGAGTTGAAATATTTCTTTCAAATTTCATGCTGTTAATAACGCAGCTATTTATATCTTATGTTTACATATTCCTCCCAAAAGATTGTAAGAGTTGTGTAAATATTTTCTTTTGTATTCTACGTATCGTTATTAGCAAATTCGAATATTTTCTTCCTCTGCGTGTTAACAAAAACAGCGTCGGCCAGCTAAGCAATTGTTTTCACACCCTGAAGTTACGCTTTATTATTTTAAAGTGAAATGAAAATTTTGAAAACAAAATACAAAAATAGCATTTATTATTCTTTAATACCGTTCTATAAATTAAATGTTTTCTTTATTCAACGCTGAATGCCATATAATTTTAGTAAGAAAACACTTTGCGATAAATGTACAATTTTATTTATTTAAAATGAATATTCTGTATTAAAGCAATAACGAAATCAGATTGTCATCGCTATTATTTTATTAATGGCTATAGATATACGATATTAATTAATAAAACTGTGCAAATAAAAAGGGAGAAATGAAGTAAATCGTTATGTGCGTTATTTTTAGTTGCGCGAAGGTATGTTCACGTATATTCTCAATAAATTTTTTTTTATCAGTTCCACATAATTGACATTTATACCATTTTCTTACTAACAGCCTTGAATATCCGGGTCATCCATATCAGTTAACTGGGTTAATTAATTGCGATTCGATTTTTTAATCATCTATTTATCCGTGCAGGGAACACTTTCACAATATTTTATAACGTTTAGATTTTGAAAAGATCACATCGAACGTAACAGTGAACATACATATCTTATCTGTTGTAATAAAAATAAGTTTTCAAATAAGTGATTCAGTAAGGCATTTAAAAATTGACACAATTAGGAACAGTGAAATTTCGTTTAAACTCATCTTGGTGTACGAAAATAAACAAGCAGAGTATGAGTTAAATGAAAATGGTGTCAGGTACGTTTAATCCGTAAACGGATTAGGCGTTCTTCAGTTAGATGAAATCACGTGAATGTATATAACCACGTAGATAGTGAACCACGTCGTATTTGGCACGCTTTTCTACACCTTTATAATCTTTCTTAAAAGGACCTTTATAATTGCATTGTGTGATAAGGTTAAATATTAATTTATTATATTCCGTAACAGTTTATATCTTTCACATATTTTTTATAAAATTCGAAAATTTGCAAATAGGAACACAATCCTTAAAATTTGCTTCAAAGTGTTATAAAAAAGAAAAAAAAATAGAAAAAGTAGCATGTAAGTTTAGAAACACAGATTTTATAAAGTAAAAAGTAAAAATAAACTTAAAATTTGGTTCAAAGTATTGTAAAGAGAAAAAGTAGTATGTAATTTTAGAAAAACAGATTTTAAGAAAAAAGTAACTTTTTTTCTTTTAATTAGTTTAAATGGCGCAACTTTCAAAATTCATTCCAGCTATAAAATACATACGTGCAATATATCTGTTAATGTGAAAGTTTTAAGGAAAAGTATTATTTTATCTGAAGCATTGTACATTGAAAATCTAAAGTAACGTTCTTCGGTGCTCTTTAACTGCTTAGATTTAACTGTTTTGATATACATATAAATCTCATTGGAAGATCTATGGTAGTATGGCGATTTTCAACGAACACGTGTATGTTGTACTATATTTGATAGACTAATGATGAGTTTCTGCACTGTCATACTGTAATCTGTTGTTTTTTTCTTGTTTCTTTTTTCTTTCAACGATATCGTTTGTTGAAGAAGCATTGCGCTAATGTCTTCGATTAATCGAATTGAACATGTTACGTTTATATTTATAAAACGTAGTTATTAGCGGGGTATTATAATTCAAGAGTTTACTTTTCTCGGTCGATGGATTTGATGTTCGATCGCGAAGTATAAATATCTCTTAGTTGTGAGCATGTGCATCTTGTCGGTGATCTCAGGCTTCTTTTTATCGCGTGGCACTGCATCACCAAAATTTCCTCTGAATTCTCGTACAACGGCCTCAATTGCAAAAATAATTGTGCGAGGATACACAAGTTTAAATGCGTACTTGGTTGACTTTGTGAAAAAGGAGGTAAGAGTGCCAGATGTGACCACGATTTACTGAAAATTAATGGAAAACTTTTGTCAACACGGGTTCTGTGTTTTTTGCGTATACAATATACGTGCGTATATATTATCCTTGTAAACAACGTTGATCGTATTCTAAGATTTACTTGAGAATCTGTAAAAACTTGTTAATTGGTCAAATCGAGCCTCATTAGGATTTAATTTCTGCAGCAGTTTCTTTTTACCGTTGCCCCAGAGGTGTTTGTTTAATAATTATAATACGCTGTAAAATACGCTATATATATATTTCTTTTTATAGTATTATTGAATATTTAGATGGAAGATAAACTTCCTTTGGATAGTGTGTAATATGGTGTTGATACGTGTAGAATCATTTTCATATTTTCTTCACTTACCTTGATATGTGAATATTACAAACTGTGTATAAATAAATATATGTTGATTTATCAGTAAGTAATTTAAAATGTTCTAAGAAATATGTTGCAGAAGTAAATATTTTAATTGGAGAATTTATTATGTTAAATGTATAAATAGTTCACAGTTCAATTCACATACAGTGTCTTTGTAACTATGCATAGTAAAAGTTCTATAATTCTTTTCACTTACATACAAGACAATATTAAAGATAATACGCTATACTACATTGTATATGTAAATATGCGTTGAAATATATAATTACATGTAAATTTAATTAAGTACAAAAATCTGTTTAGTGCAGAAGTTATATATTTTGTTATGTTAGGAAAAATGGCATAACAATATTTATTGAGAAAAATTCAACTGTTAATTATAGTGTGTTTTGCGTAATTTAAATAGCTCAGCAAAAACAAGAAACAGATGCTGTATCTACTAGAGGAAATATCAAATATTCTTATTTTATCGTAGTATCCTATAGATTCGATTTAGATTTTTCTTATTTTTATTACATTTTATTTTATTACAACTTCCACTATGATTTATTGTTAGCGAAACTCTTATTCTTACAT